GTATATGTGAACTGCTGTATGGAAAGTGAATTTGCTCTGAAAATCTTTACCCAAATCACAATTTAAAAAAAAAAAAAAATATAATTGAATTTTGCAATTCCATGACTGCTTTTTTCCCCTCCTGTTAGAAGATATTGGGTCATTATATAAAAAGGTTTGCTAGGCAGTCACTGCTTAGATTTTCTTACAAGCATGGACCAGATTAACTGCAAAAGAGATGTCAAAAAAAATGTGTATGACTACAAAGAAATGCAGATTTAAAATTTTTATTGGTATCTGGCTTTCAATTACTAGATCAATTATCCTGAAACTGACTAACTTCTCTGTTTCTTATTTACTAATTGAGTGAAAGTCCAATGAAAAAGTATGTCAAAACTGGGATCAGTATCTAAATTAGTTGATATTCCTTCTAGTCTCATCTCTACTGATGGGATGCATGAATTGGCCCTAAGGTGTTAGACAGAAAAGGTATAGGCATCTCTGAAAGTTTTTATAGAATGGAGAGCTGCTAAGAAGTTTACAACTGCTTTCCAACATATTTATATTAGACTTGAAGAGTAATTAAGAGATATAAACTTATTTTAGCATTTTTTTCAATTTTAAACTATCTGTTCAGTGTACAGTAATTCCATGAAAGGGTAAAATCTCTCTTTCTCTGTATATGTAGCCTAACTAAAACAGACTAGCTATAGTCCTATATAACAGATTATGATTTAACTATCTCTTTGATTACAACCGCCAGCAAGTTCTCTACACCAATACAGATCAATGAAATAATCTTAATCAAGGAAGTTACTACTCAGAGACACCCAAATAATTATCTATGTGACATCTAAATTAATTCCAGTTGCATTTACATCCAACTCAGTCATTAAAAAATAATGAATTTCTTTCCAGCTACCCAAGAATTTAGTTATATGGGTTAATAGTCAAAATTAAATGTTTTATCCTAAAGAATAATTATAAATGAAAACAGGTGTACCTCAAAAAAGAGGTACTATGAATAAAGGGTGTAGAGAAGTCAAGGAAGCAAGAACATTAGGTAAATCAAATTCCTTTGACATTTAGCAAAAATTTCCAACAGGTTATATATATAGTTAAGAGACAGAAAATGAGACAGTCATAAATGACCTGGGCCAGGTATTTTTTTTTTTTTACCTGAAAGCTGTGGGCTTTTATTTCCCAAGGAACTGCTGCGACTAGATTTACTGCCTTTGCTTTTAGTGGGTCGTCTTCTTCTTCCTGAAAGGGGAGCAGCAGGGGGAATAATGACAGCAGGGGGAACCTTGCCCAATTTGGTATACAAAGATTCAATTTCATGTTTCTGGCGACTCTGCAGGTCTTGAATCTCCTTAAGATGTCTACAAAAGATAACCAGACACAATTGAAAATATAACCATCTTTGTTCAAACAAGAATTAAAAACATATCCTTTAACCTGCATTCACATATTTACTTATAAACCTTTTCCCAAATGTACTTAAGTGAAGTTCTACTTCCTTGAGATTCTAGTTCTTCAATTAATTAGCCTCCACTGTTGTTAGCTGCCACTGAGTTGGCCCCTGACTCACAGTGGCCTCATGCACAATGGAACAAAACGCTGCCTCGTCCTGGGCCATCCCCGTGATTAGTTGTGGATCAGACCCTGTGATGCACAGGGTTTTCACTGGCTGATTTTCTGGAGTAGATCATCAGAAGGTGAGCTTCCTAGTCCCTCTTAGTCTGGAAGCTCTGTTGAAATCTGTTCAGCATCATGGCAACATGCAAGTTTCCAATGACAGATGGACTGTGGCTGCACATGAGGTGCACTGGCTGGGAACTGAACTGGCCAGCATGGAAAGTGGGACTTCTACCACTGGGCCATGAATGCCCTCTACGCCAAATTCCAACTAGCTCCTCAAAGCAAAACTCACTGCCAAGTCAGGTCCGACTCACAGCGACCCCTCCTTGGGTTTCCTAGGTGGTATCACTATGGAAATAGATTGCTCAACCTTCCTTCCGAGGAGTGGTTGGTGGGTTTGAACTGCAAGCCTCCAGATTCAGCAGTCAAACACCTTAAGCACTACACCACCAGAGCTCCCAAAACTCACTGCCATGGAGTCAGATTCAACTCACAGCGACCTCTCCTTGGGTTTCTGAGGCAGTATCATTATGCAATTGAGATCCGACTCAATGTACTCATTAGTAGTCACTCCCCAAGCCCCATCACCTCAGCCCTAAACCAAAACCAAACTCACAAACTCACACTGCCGTGGAGTCAGATCCGACTCATAGCGACCCCTCCTTGGGTTTCCGAGGTGGTATTACTATGGAAGTAGATTGCCCAACCTTCCTTCCGTGGAGTGGCTGGTGAGTTTGAACCACCAGCCTTCTAGTTAGCAGTCAAATGCCTTAGGCACTACGCCACCAGAGCTCCTAACTAGCTCCTAGTGAACACCAAATGGTTGATGATATTACTAGGAGAAAAAGATTGTCTGACTCTTGAGGCCATATTCAAATAGAGCAAATAGAGAGGATTTGCTATTCTGATCCAATTTGCCAATATAAACAACAAAACATGAATATATAATCATGCATCCCAGTGCCATTATCAGATTTATCTGGTAGATCAGTAAACAGTTAAGAATGGTTAATACTTATAAAATACTATTAAAATTATAGTAACAATAATATAAAGGTGCTCAAGAAGTTTTTTTTTAACTAGAAATGGTACAGGAAGAAGAATACGAGAGAACTCAATGAACTATACCCAGATAACTTTAACTTTTGGATATTACTCTCTCTTTTAAAGAAATGAAACATCAGCATATTGCAGTGAAGACAACAGTAACCTTGGCACCAGGATCTATGTCTGAGTACAGTATTTGCCATTAAAATAGGGGTATGATATTGGACAATTTTTTAAAATGAGGAGACTGAAGCACAGACTAACTCAAATGCTCACCTTTCAGGTTTCTTGGGCATTAGATACTCTCTCAAAGGTGAACATATACTTACTTTTCTCGTAGCCGTCGCAGCTCTAACTTTAAGTCTTCATCTTCAATATCTGACTCATTGTCACTACTCATATAAGAGGAGTTGAATGAATTACTAAGGCTCTGACTTAGATTCTGGATAGGAAGGCTCTTTGAGCACAGTTGATGAGGAGAGTGTGGGCTACCTGAACCATCATCCACATCTCTACTTAGGAAGGCAGCCTCCAGATCAGAAGATGGCCCATTCAGATGTGAAGGCTCTGACAGTTCAGGCTTCTCTTTCTTTGGTATCACAGCAGGAAGAACAGCTTGTTCCAAATCTGTGAAAGAAGGAGATGCCACTGGCCCCTCTTTCTTTGCCACTGTGATCTTGTCCTCAGTTCTTGATACAGAGAAACGACCCACTTTGTTTGTTGTAGCTGTCACCTGGAAACGCCCAATACCAGTAGGCTGCCCAGTTTCTGACTTTGCCTCCGCCACAGGGGTTTTGTGGGCACTGTCTGGTACATCTGAAGAGATGCCATGGGTGGTTGTTCCCTTCAGCTCGGGCTTCACCAGGGTACTCTCCGGACTACTGCTGGATAGTGCTGAGGACTCTGAAGTGCTGGATTCAAAATGAACAGACTTTGTATCTTCAGACTTATTTTTACCTTCTTTTTGGGCATCATCTGTCGTAACTGAAACCTGACAGGAAAACAGACATAGCTGAGGTTAAAAAACAAAAGTCCTCAATATCTAATTTTTAGCATGAATCCCCCACCTAAAATATTTTTCCTCTCTTCATTTCCAGCCAATGAGTAGGCTATGTCCATATCAGTCCCTCTAGCCTTGACTGTGAAAATAAATCAGAGAACAAAAAAATCTGTACTAAGATGCAGATGCTGAGTGGCTGGCTAAGCTTACTAATTAAATGGTTTGATTATATATCCCATACCATGAACAGGAACTCACAAACTAAATGATTTCCTTTCATATCTCTTATCATACATGCTTTATCCAAAATAAAATAACAGGTGATGGATTCTTGAAGACTGCTTGTAAACAAGAAAAACTACAAAGATTAAATCTAAGAAATAGTGAATTTCAAGAATCAATATAATTATCTACATCCACTCCTCACTTATTAACATGATTAGGTTTCAAAGACCAGGCCATTGTGTGAAAATTGGTGGTAAGTGAAAGTAGAGGATGATCACATCAGAACACAAAATGGAAGATGTTCAGGTAGTCCATAAAATGGAGGGTCAGCAAAGAAGGGGAAGACCCTCAATTAGATGGATTGACACGGGCTACAACAATGGGCTCAAATATAGCAAGGATTCTGGGGATGGTGCATGACAAAGCACTGTTTCCTTCTACTGTACATATATGGTTGCTATGAGTCAGAGACAACTCAGTGGCACCTAACAACAACAACATTATACATAATGTCACCTTACATCACTACATAACTGCCAAACCACTGAGAATCATGGCCCAGCCAACTTAACATATAACTTTAATTATCACAGTCAGCATTACTCTTGCCTCACATCTTGCTGTTCATTACTGTCAGATGTATGCAGTTAATTTGCAAACAGTCAGATTTTTTTTTTACTACTGCTGTAAATGTGAAATGCTGCATAATGACATAGTCAATAAGCAAGGAGCAGGTATAGTACCAAAAGCAGGATCCAGATCCTTGTCCTGATTTTCCATGTATTATAAATACCTCAGTTTACAAACGAGAAAAACATCACCTAGTATCCCTGACTCTAGGTGCTATGATGAAAATAACCTAAAAGTAGTTGTGAAAGCAGTTAAAAAAAAAAAAAAAGATTTGCAAAACTCATTCCACACTCTATATTAAGAGCCAGGAAATGTTCATTCATTGGGCCAGCTGGGAAAACAAAATGATATGCCATCAACTGATGCTGACTCAGTATTTTCACTTCAGGAATTATTCCTGAGAAAATTATCTTTAATGTGGAAAAAATTTTTATATACAATGATGCTTACTATTATATTACTTATTATGGTAGAAAAATTAGGAACAACCTACTGACCAATAATAGGAGAATCATTAGACTACTAAAGTGAAAAACAAAACAAAAAAAAACTCTACAAATTATCATTCAAAGAGCTGGCGTTAATTTTACAAACAAACATGTATGGAGAAAAAGTAATCTTGGTGGGGGCTAGCTTGTAGGACTATTAGTGTTTTGTTTCTCCACTGTTCTAAGTATTCTGTATTTTCTTTAATTAGCATGTACTACTTTTATTATTTGAAAAAGATAAAAAGAATGATAAACTGCTACATAAGATACATATTATCAGATTGGGAATTATGTTGCAAATAAGTAGGTAATAATTTTATTATATATACAGCTCCTCTTAAAGAGAGAATTAAGGCAAAAAAAAGTAATCAATTTACCTGAAATCGTCCCATCTTAAAAACACCAGTTCCTGAACTGGTTGCTAGGGCAGGGTCTTCTGTGACTCGAGAAACTGAAAAAAAAAACCAACACAAACGAACAAAAACATGGAGGAGGAAAACAGCTTACATTAGCATTTCTTTTTAGTTAGCTTCTTTATCCTTTGGCCAGAAATACAGCAAAACCAAACTAAATTATCAGATGAGGAAAATTGTTAGAGGCAAAGAAAAAACTCCCACACCTCCTTTTTCCTTAAGTTTTTCCCAATAAGGGGAAATCAGTTACTGTTTGTTCTACTACTAGATATCTTCAATTTGAAAGATTATATTGTTTATCAAAAATTAAGGTCTAAAAATTTATCATTAATCATCTACCTTACCATGTATGCATGTATAAATATAGCATTGTTTGAAGGAATAAAAGTTACAGATTAAGCAACTTTATAACTAACTACAATACATCTACTCTTCACTTATCAACTATCTCTTTATTCAACATTTCACATTTCTAACAATAGTAAAACATCTACTACCTATGCTGCACATTAAGGATGCTGTCTGGAAGTAGGGAACATGGAGGTATGAGGCAGTAACTCTGGCTGGACTGTGATTTTCAAGTGGTTTGGTAGTTTTATAATTGATAGTTAATGTAATGTTGTAATTCGGCAGTTTTATGTAATGATGTAGTCATCCTCCATTTTGTGATCTGAGGTCATTCTCCATTTTCCCATAATGCTGATTTTCACCTAACAACCATGACTTTGGAACATAAACATGTTGGTAAGTGAAGAGTAGGTATATCAAGAGACACTGTAGCCACTAAGGTTAACAGGCAGCAAGAACTCAATTACTTATTCTTTAATTTAAAGGAACGATGAAATTTTTTCTAACACATTGAAGAACTATCTGAAATTCATTGGCAATACTTTTTTTTAAAATGCGTTTTATTGAAATATAATTTATGTACAGTGAAATACACAAAACTAAAGTGACATGGGTCAATGTATTTTTTTCCCCCAGTGTTCCTGCCCCTCCCCTTCCACTCCTGGCAACCAACAAAGAAAGTTTCCCTCCATATATAAACCTTTTCTTGACCCTCCACAGCAATGAACTAATACTATACTTGTCCTTCTGTGATTGACTTATTTCACTCAGCATAATGTCCTCCAAGCCTATCCATTATTATGCGGTGTTTTGCAGACTCCACATTATTCTTTAGTGCTGCATACTATGTTCCATTATGTGTATGTACCATAGTTTGGTCATCCACTCTTTTGATGACGGGCACGTAGGTTATTTCCATTTTTTGCTATCATAAACAGTACTGCAATGAACATGAGCATGCATGTATCTATTCCTGTTCTGGCTCTCACCTCTCTAGGATATATACCTAGTAATGGGGTGGCTGGGTCAAATGATATCTCCAATTCCAGCTTTCTAAGGAATTGCCATATTGCTTTCCACAGTGGCTGTGTCACTTCACAGTCCAACCAGCAGTGTATGAGAGTCCCAATCTCTCCACATTTGAACCAGTATTTTTTATTTTCTGTCTTGCTGAGCCTTGCCATCAGTGCTGGAGTGAGACGGTATCTCATTGTTGATTTGATTTGCATCTCTCTGATGGCCAATGATTGTGAGCACCTCTTCATGTATTAGCTGGCCACATGAATATTCTCCTTGGTGAAGTGTCTATTCATGTCTTCTGCCCATTTTCCAATTGGATTGTTAATTCCTTTGCTGTTTAGGTGATGGAGTTTTCTATAAATCTTAGAGATAAGTCCCTTGCCAGATTTGTAATTATCAGCAAATATGAATTTGTTGCTGTCATTTATGTTATATACTTTTTTGTGGTGTCGATTTCTTTGTTCCATATAATTTTCTATGCTGAACTTGTTTTGTTTATGAATCGTGTTATCACTTCCTTCGTTGCTATTGTTTTAGTATTTGCTAAGTATTTGTACCAGTCCTATTTTTTATTTTGATATGAAGGTTTATCATTTTTCTTTGAGGTTACCCTGTGATTTGTAGTTTTCTTCCCCAGTTTAGAACAGTCTATCTTGTAGTTGTCTTGACATTCCTATTATCGAGATGACATTCTGTAACGACATAGATTTTTCCCGCTTTTTGGTTTTGTGTTAGATTAGGTTCTCTAGAGAAACAGAAACAGAAACAATAAAACTTACATAGAGAGAGAAAGAGAAATTTATCTTAGGTAAATGGCTCACACACTTGTAGAAGCTGGTAAATCCAAAATTCTTGGACGAAATGTCAAGCTGGAGGCTTTTCTTGACTCACGCAGCTGCATGGGCTAGGGGAGCTCAAGGTTGGCAGGCAGTATACAGGCTGTTGACTCCAAAGAATGACAAATCCAAGATCTCCAGGCCAAATGGTGGACTGTTCGCTCATGGAGAGTCGTAGGAAGCACAACAGAATCCCGATCCACAGAAGAAGAGGCTTTTTTCCCAGGATGTCCATAAATATACTGGAAGCAGGCTACACCCCTAGGGAAATTCCCTTTCAACGGATTGGCTGCTCAAAACATATACATCTGATCCCATCATGGGAATAACC